TTAATAGATGATAAATATGAAATAAATAAATAAATAAATAAAACGAACAAACCAATGCTTCCGGTTTCAAATGAAGATTTTCTAATAAAACATTTCCTAAGATAAAATAAAAAGAAAAAAAATTGAAATGAATAAATAAATAATAAAAAACAAAAAAAAAGTAACCATGTTTAAGATTAAGTTTTAATTTTTCATCGTCTAATCTTTCAATATAATCTTTCATATATTTATTAATTATATAACGAACAATTATTTTCAATATCATTTATTTATTTATTTTAATTATTTTGTCTAAAGTAAAACAACAAGCAATAAAAATTAAATTAGATCATTTGTTTTTTTTCTTTTATTTTTGTCACAACCAGTAACTAGTTGTCATGCATATATTTCGAAGCAAACGTCATCACAAACGAAATAAAAAAATCAAAATACAAAAAGAAAAGAATCCATCATTTTTTTTTTCTTTTTCTCGATCAAAATTTTGCAATGTCACTTAAAAATAGATCGAAACATAAAATAAAAGGATTACAGTCGTTCAAACCATAAAATAATTTAATGAAATATCGAATCTTTCTATATTAAATGGATCTGACAAATGAACATTTTCTCACAAAAAAGTATTTTGATGAGGTCGTTACTAATGTCTTACAGAAAATCTCATTTATACATATAAAGATCAGCGAACATTATTTATTTTATAAATTTTCTTTTTTTTTACACGTTTTCATCGAAAATTTCTTATGTTTGAACTTGTTTTTAATGTATTGACTTCTATTTTAATTCGAATTGACATGTTACATAATAACAAAAAAAATTCTTTCTTTCAAATTGTTAACTGACAGTCAACAATCATTTTCATCATCGATTTTCCTCTAATGAGTTACATATTTTTCCTTCAACGTTTTATCTTTCTAGAGAAAGTTCATTGATTTCTTCACTATTTAAAAGTTGACAGTGAAATATTTTTCCACATATACAATCAAACTTTTATTTTCATTTAAAGATTGTTGATCGTGCAAGCTTCAAATCTTAAAAGATTTTATATTGACATGACATTATCAGACGAGTAGCATAAAATTGTTCTTTGCTGAATGACGACCGAATTTTCGGAAACTGAACTATGATATTCAGGTTCTTCTTTTTATGATTGTAATTGGACATTGTCGGATTAAGACATTATATTCTGATTCATAAAATGATTCGAACCAACCATCGAAATTATTTCTTCTTTATGCATTCCATAGCTAACTAAGAAACTCTGCTCAATTCTAAAAGATATATTTAAAATAAACGAATTTTAGTAGATTGCATGAGAATGTTCATCATGTTTTAGTTTTTTTCAAGTCTAATGCATAAAATATCTAATTGTGTGTGTAGACAATTGAATTTTGCACAAAAATATCGAATTAAAAGCTAAACAAGTTAACGTTTTTGATTGATTCAAATATTTTCCTTCAGTTAAATAAGCGTAAGATAATTAAAAAAAAACAAATTCAGTGTATTTTTATCGAAATTCTTTTTGGCTTAATTTTTAATTAAATATTTCAATATGAATCAATTTGTTATACGATTTGAATAATCTGTTTTGATGATTTTAATATAATAGAATAGAATTAATTTGAATATTTTTATATTCAAATAAACTTCTGTGTTAAACATCGTTAAGACAACAAAAAAAAAAATCACCACTTGAAAAACAAATAATTGTTGTTAATATAGTCTATTGTTATTTATTTACAAAAACACATAAATAGATCAAGGTGCTTTTGGAATAACTGATGGACTAATTTTAGTAAAACCAAATGTATTCGAGAAATATTTTTGACTTTCAATTCCAGTTTTATCTTTTTCAACTGCGTTTGGATTAACAATTTCGAGACCCTAGAAAAAAAAAGAAAGAAAAAAACAACTTAATAAAAATAAAAATGACATTATTACTTGAAGTGGTGTAAAAGCAACACTAGATGCTGTTCCACTAATTTGTTTTCTATTATGTACTGTTGTTGTTCCACCATATGGATTATTTTGACGTTGTAAAGTTTTCTAAATAAAAAATAAAATAATGAAAGAAAATAAAAACACAGATAAAAGAACAAACTTGAATTTTTTGAGAAATTTTTGCTTTTGTTTTTGAATCAACTTGTGCCGCTCGAACTTTTCCAGAACCTGATTTTCCAATCATACCTGTTGAAAAACCAATTGCATCTTGATAAGCATCTTCTTCAATCTTAAATAATAAAAAAAAAAAATAAAGTTAAGAAAAAAAACAAATTAAAATTGAATAAAATAGTTGAACCTCTCCAAATTTCATTTGATTAGCTTCAGCACGTAATTGCGTCATTCCAAGACGTTCTTTCATTTTTCTATGTCGTCTTCCACCACGTTTTTTTCTTCCAGAATCAAGTGGTGGTGGTAATGGTTTAACTGCTTTAACTGGTGGTGGTTCTTGTAATTTTTCTAAACGTCGTTCAATTTCAATTAATAAATATTTTCCTTGTTCACCATTTGGACTTTCATGAAAACTATCAACACGTGCAGCTAATGTTACTTTACATGCCACTAAACGTGCTACACGAACTCGAAGATCCTAAACACAAAAATATTAAAATTATTAACAAATATTTTCAAGTTTCATCATTTGTTTTTTTCGTTTATCTTTTCAATATAAAAATAACATTAAGAGATTAAAATAAGTCGAAAATGATTTCGAGTTATGATTGATTAAGATGGATTTCTTATCATTTTATTTAATTTTTGCTTAATAATTATTGCTATATTGACAAAATAAAAACAACAAATTTCGAACTAAAAAGGATTCCATAAGATCTTAGAAATATGAAGATATTCTCAAAGATATGTTGTCCTTCTAAAAATATTCAATTAATAAAAATGTGTAATTGTGCTAACGTTTTTTTTGCGAATAGTCTGTATTCTAATGTATACTCTTCCCTACTTCTCCGAAGATTTGATTGGTCCTTTCGGGAATTGTGATTATTCTAGGACATTCTATGCGTTGGCGCTCACAAAAATAGGTGTTTGCTCTCACGAAGTTTTAAATCACCTCTCCAGAAGAGAAAATCTCAATAAAACACTGGAAATGATCAGTTTCTCAACGTGTCATATGTTGATAGAGATGCATTTATATTGTTGAAAACTTTGCGAAGATTTTCGTGTCTTGAAATTATCTTATGAAAAACGTTTTCGTTCGTAATTTATTTATTTTAGTTTTTTCAATGTATTAACGTCATACCTAAGGATTTCAAAGTCACCCTTTTTTAAAGCATCAGTATACTTCTGTAAATCCATGTCAAATGTTTATGAATGAGTTTGACATGATAATCATATAATCATTTATTTATCTCTATGTTTAAAAGATAAACTGAAAAATACAGCAGTGTTGAGACTTCATAAAGAGAAAATTTCAGAAATTTTCGCAATTATATACTTACAGAAATTTCTGAAATTTCCAATATGTCTAAAAACTTTTGATTTGCACTGCTATATAGTTATCGAGCTGATGGAAATTTCAGAAGTGTGGGTGATTTCCTTTTTTGAAAATCCAAACATACCTCGAAAAATAAGATAAATGTTAGAAATGAAAAAACTAACTAACCGGTGGACAATCTTGAACAAGTTTCGAATAAAAAATAGCTCCAGCATGAGGCATAGCTGCTGTTGATGAAAAACCTCCAAGAAGTTTTTTATGTGCACCCAACAATAAAATATTACATGAAGGCATTTTTGTTAAATTAGTTAAACCTCCAGCCAAACCCATTAATTTAGCTGCTGTTGATGCTCCAACAATAATTGATAAATTTGGTGCAATAAATGTCATACGAGATTCAACATATGATAATATGGTTTGTTTATTTTCACTTAATTTCATCGCCTAAAAAAAAAACAAAAGTTCAACATTATAAATAAATATTTGATAAAAATACAAACCATTTGACATGCTTCCATAACACGTTCTAATTCTTCATTAGTTAAATTTTTCCTACAAAATAAAAAAAAAACAAAAAAGGAAAATTGAAATAATGAAATTGAATGAATAAATACCCTTGAGTTGTTGAAGCTGATACACTGACAATCATAATAGTTGCTGGTGTCAAAAATTTTGGTAATTTTTCATTCATTTTTGCTCGATCAACATTATTAGCTAATTCCTAAAAAAAAAGATAAATTAATGAGTTTTTTTTTTGTTTTTAATCTTCTATTCAGTTTGATTTCTTAGTTAAATTGAATGAAAATGTTCTTTTTTTCTTTTTCTTATAAAATAAATAAAAATTGTTTACCTGAACAGTTGTAAGATAATCCATTGGTAATTGAACAAGTTGTTCTAATTCTGGAAATCTTTTATAATAAATTGTTCGAACAAAATTATGTATAATATCAATTTCATTATCAATTTCAACAAGTAAATTATTAGCATCAACAATAAGTAAATATTCAGGATCATGTTCAACAGGACCTTGAATTTCTGCTGTAGATTTTCGTTGATGTTTTGTATAAAAATCAATTTTTTTCATTGTTTCTTTAAGTAATAATGAATCTTTTAATTTAGCAACAGCATGAACACTATTAGCATTTGGTAAAGATTTAATTGCAGAAGACGTTTGATCAACTTCCATTGATTGATCATTTGTTTGATTATTTTGATCATTATTTGAGAGGCCTTGACCTCCATCCATTTCTTCAAGATCAGCGAGAAGTTCATCAGCAAGTGACATTTTTCTATCTGAAATAACTCAATGAAATGAAATATTTTTTTTTTGTCTTTGGTTATTTTTTATTAAATAATTTCATAATAATGTGTTTTTTTTTATTAGATTCTTTTTTTTTCTGTTATCAGACATAACTCTAAGCAAATAAAAATGACTCCATTTTGTTCTTTCATTCTTTGTAATATTATTTCGTAATAACATGTCAATAACAAAGTATGTGTCGTGTTGCAGGTCGATTCAGTGTGTTAAAAAAATCCACGAATACAAAGTTTCAATATGGATTCATCTTATCATGCAAGAGAAAGAAAATTAGTTCCAAGATTTCGTCGAAAAAATCAAAATAAAAATTTCGTTGATGCTGATGAACGAGAAGCTCAAGCTTTAATTGAAAAAGATTTAGAAAGTCATTTTATATGGACAAGTGATGCTAAAGATGATTTTGAATATCATTATGATGATAATCAATTACAAGAAAGTAATCAACAAATTTCAATTAATGATCAAATAAATCAAAATTTTATTTATGATGTTGATAATCAAAATGAACAATTATGGAAAAATAATATTGAACAAGATGATTATCAACTTTTTAAATGGAATGATGAACAACAACAACATAAAATATCTTTTTCAATTCACAATATTCAAGATAAACAACATCAATGGGCTTTACATGATGATAATCAACAATTTATTCAATTGAATTTAATTAATCAACATGATCAACAATCTAAACATGATTTAGATACAAATACGGATAATTCACAAAAACGTTTTATCGAAGGAGATGAATTTCGAAATAATGTAAGTGTTTTGTGTAAATCATAATTTTCTATTATTCTTTTCTTTTTCTTATATTTATTGTTAGATGAAATTCGCTATTGAATCTGAAGATGAAAAATTCAATATATTTGTAAAGGATTCAGAAGATATATTATCAGTAGAAATTGATTCAAATATTCCTTCAATAAATTCAATATTAAGTCTTCCTCAAAATCCAATTACTTTTAATTGGCTTGAAGGAATATCTGAATATAATATATCATTACCTGCTGAAAAATTTTTACAAGAATATTCTCCTTTAACTGAAATAAAAGTTGAAATTGATTCAAAAAGTTTAAAATGTTTAACATGGTCATTAGATTTATTAAAAGAAAATCTAATTGTTTCTTATTTAATTAGTTTACCTGATAATTTTGATAAACAATATTCTCTTCCTGATAAATTTCATTTAAAATTATCAATTGATGATGAAAATTCTAAACAATTATTTTCTTTAATTGATTTATCATTTAAACAAACATTAAGTATATCATCAGATGATATTAAACAACAATTATTATCAATAATTGATTCATTTAATATAAAACAAAATTTTGGAAATGATGATCAATTTCTATTTTATCAATGGTCTTTACAAGATTTAAAAATAACTATTTTAAATCTTTCTCCTTTAGAAATTATTAATTTAATTTATTCACCAATCGATGCTAAACAAATTTTACTTGAACATTTACTTATTGAGAGCGATGAAGTAAGTGCTCGAGCTTTTCGTCGATATCGTTGTAAACATATGTCAATTAAAAATGATGAAAAACTTCAATTAGATTCTCTTGAAGGTTTAAATTTACAATTTAAAGGAAATGAACAAATTGCTATTGGAGAAGAACAAATACAAAATGATTTCAATGAACAACAAATATATCGAGGTTTATTTTTTTTGTGTGTTTTTTTCTTCGAAAGTAAAATATTTCATTGTTTTTTTTTGTGTTAATTATAGATCTAACAAATTCGACGATATTATTAGAAGAAGAACCTCCACAATTATATGATATAATAAAAAGCGAAAGTTCATCAAATAATGTAGGTCCTTGTTTATATCGATGTGATTATGAACGTCAACCACCCAAAACATGGTCACGACTTCGTCGTGAAATTGGTTATATGTCATTTGATGGTTCACTTGCTCAACCAATTTATCATTTGGATAAATCATTTAAACGTTTTGTACATATTCCAATAAAACGTGATAAATGTTCATATAATGTTTATCATGGTTATTCAGAATTTATTGAAAAAGTTCAATTGAATCCTGATAATTATTTTCGTCGATTTGATTCAACTGATCTTCGTCCATTACTTAATTGGTATTCAAAAAAACAACATCTTTTTTCTTCAACAAATCAACATATGTTAAAACCACCAACATTTATTTGTCGTCGATTAGTTTTACGAACAATTTTAGCTAATCTTTATTGTGATTCTGATCCATGGAAATTACTTGTTATACGTATTAAAGGACAATTTTATTTAGCATTAGCTAATAAAGAAACAAAATCAGTTGAAGATATGACACATGATGAATATAGTGGTTATAAATTTCAAGCTTTGTTTACAACAGATCAACCAAATACAACAAGATTTGAAGAAAAAACTCCATTAGAAAACCCTCAACAACAATATCATACAGTACAATATTGGCAATTTGGAGAATTTAATTTACTTTATTCAAATGAAATTGATGGAGAATTAAAATGTGATATTCAACAAAAAACATCAACTACAGAAACAACTCATACCGTTAAACAAGTTAGTCTCTTTTTTCTTATATAAAAAACTTAATTTATTCTTAAATGAAATTTATTTTTAGGAAGATGATGCAACACAAACAACAACAACAACAGCACCAACAGCAGAAGCAGTATCAGCAGAAAATACCGAGTAAGTTATTCTTATAGAAAATAGTTTATTTTAAAAAGGAAATTCATATTCTTTGAAGAAAATCCACCGAGATAGACTGGTGGGAAGGTGGAATACCTCTCGAAGTGAACTGGGGAGAAAGTGAAATACCTGTCGCAAAGGACTGGTGGGCAGGTGGAATACCTGTCGAAATGGAAATATCATCTGAACAAAATGAAGATAAATTAAAAGAAATGGAAATATCATCTGAACAAAATGAAGATAAACTAAACGAAATGGAAATATTATCTGAACAAAATGAAGATAAATTAAAAGAAATGCAAATAAATGAAAATCTTCAATTAATAAAAAGTGATGAAAATGAAATAATTGAAAAGAAAAAACGAAATGAAAATGAAATAAAAGCTGGTTATGTTGAAATGAAATGTACAAATAAAAAAATTTTTTATCGAGATGAAAATAAATTACAAACACTTTATTGGTGGGCACAAATGTGGTTAGCTAATACAAATACACTTATGATCGGTTATAAAACAACACATGATGGAATTATTGATCATTTAGATGTACTTTCAATTGATAAACTTATTTCAAAATTTCTTTCAAGATATGATCTTCGCCTTAAATATTGTCTTTCTTATCTTTATTCATTTCTTGATTTAATTCAAAAAACAGTTCATATTGATGATCCAAATACAATTCATGCATTTGCTTATATTCCTCAACCATTAGATATTGATCCTCTTACAGGAAAACCTTTACAATATGATTTACCTAAATGTGTTCCATTTCGATATACACAAATAAAAAGATCAAATCAAAGACATGCAAATTTTATGCCTCTATGGTATCTTCAAGATATTCAACGAACTGCACCAGTTGGAGGAATTTTACAAGATAAACAACTTAAAACTGTCGAACAAGAAACGAAAAAACGTATTGGACATCGTGGAAGATCATCGTGTATTCTCAAACAAGAGCAACAAGATAAACGTAAAAAGAAACATTAATTTAAAAAAAAAATTATTTTCTTTTAATATATTTTCCATTTAAAATTAAACTTTAGTAAACGAGAATTGTTAATGTTCCCTTTTCTTAGTAAATAAATGGATTAAATAAATAATAACATTAAATAAGAAGTTAAATTTATCACTAAAAGCCCTGGTAAATAAGATCAATATCACAATCCGAATAATTCAGATAGAACAGTACGTGTTTCCACTGGACTTGTTACCGAATAACCTTTTGTTCGTGGATCACTATAAATCTCATAATCATTGCCACCCTAGACATAACAACTCAAGTTTTAATTTTATTAAACGATCATTTTTTTTATTCATAGATATTCAATGTCGATTCATATAAAATATTTGTTCTTCTAATTTATATAATGAAATAAAGATAAAAAATTCCAACGAGAAATCAATTTTTCGAAGAAACAAATTATTGATATTGAGACTCATTTTTTTACTTTAGGAAAAATAATTTTTATTGATCAACATAATTTGGAATCTATTTTACAACATATATATTTTAAATTCTGAAATCGATGCAAAAAAAATCTGTTCGGCTATGAACAATTTACACGAAAAAAAAAATGACATTAGGCTATTTCAAGAGATATGGAAACATCGAAGCAATCTTCAACGTTGATCAATGTTCAGATGAACAGTGTATAATCATCGTATTCCTTTTCTCAAATTCGAACCATCTTCTTATCAGTTTGAGTAGAAATCTATTGACCTGACTGGCAATAAACTGGATAATCTTCTTCGGAAAAAAAAAAGCTTTGATGTTTATATCATCAACTATTCAATTGTATTCTGATATAAATAATATTCTTAATAAAGTCTTTTAAAATTTTTTCTAAAATATGAATAAACTGATCTCACTCACTCAGTTCTATACAGAATCGATATAAAAAAAGAAAACCGATTCATTCTGATAATGTTTAAACGTAGCACTAACTAAAAATAGCCATCTAGTATTTCATTGAACCAACATTTTATGTTTGTTTAAAATATAATGATGAATTAATATTTAGTTATTGTATATTAAAAGTTATCGAATAAGAACAAGCATCTTGCATGCATCGACATTGATTATTAAATAAATAATTATATTATTAATGAATATTTCTCTATTATCTATTTGATAAACAAAAAAAACGAACTTACCTTAAATGTTTTATCACCAAAAAAATAAATATTGGAAATTCGATCATTTTCTAAATGTTTCAATGCATATCGTTTATCCCATCCTTCTGGAAAAACATCGAAACTAATCTGACCACCTTAAAGAGAATCAATTAGAACAAAAAAACAAAAACAAATTAATTTCATAAATGAAATAAAAACAAACCAATGGAAAAGTAAAGTTTCATGCAAGAAAATTTTTCTCGAAGATCGCTGACCATTGTACGACGAATATTATGTTCCTTTATTAATTAATTTCATTATTTTTAAATAACAGAATAAAAACTAACACAACTTACTAAATCATATTTTTCAAATAGATCTCGTTCTTCCTTTGTACAATTTCGACCCACTGGCGAAACATTAATAAGACCATTACGAAATTCAATAAATGTTCCACTAATTAAACAACTTTTCAAATTATATTTTAAAAAAAACATAGAAATCCTACCGTTTAAATGGTAATTTTATATCAGATAAATATTTTAAACAATAATTAATAAATGTTTGTAAATTATCTTCACCAATATATTTTTGAATATTCTTTAAAACAGATATAAATAATCAATTTAGGAGGATAAAAAAAAAGCTCGAATTGAATTAACAAACATCTTCAAAAAATTGTTTTCCATTTTTAAAAGCTACGAGACCATTTTCAGCAAAGACATAATCATATTTAGCTATAGCTAAACACAAACAATATATCTAAAAAAAAATTAAATATAAATAATAATTTACCTTCAATACCACCAATTTGTTCAGCAATCTTAACTATATCCGATCCACCAACAAGACCAACGAGACATTTTTTTCGAAGTTCTTGAAGATCTGCATCCATTGCAGACGTTATAGCCTAGACCAAAAATTGAACAACATTTTTTTTTAAAATAAATAAATCTTCATTTATGATTACTTGTCTTGGCATAGTAATCGTTCCATCGACATCAAATAAACAAATAGTATCGAGTTTTCGTGTTTCTAACAATCCATCATCGCTTTTGAATGGTTTACTTGGTGCTGTCGAAGGAGTACTCAATGATGCCATTTAAATATCTACAATTTTAAAAACAAAAAGAAAGAATCTCGACTTTGTCCATGGGCTTAAATATTTTTTTCGTTTTAGCATGAACTAATACAGAAAAAAAAACCATAAAGAAACAAATAAAAAAAAAATCATTGATATTTCTTAAGATGAAGATGTATCTTGATGAATATTTTGACCATGTCGACGACATCGTTCTAGATGAGCATAATAAAGTAATAGATTATTATTTCCATAAGTTGGATTTGAACTTGATGTTAATTCTACAGGAATATTTGTTGAACGTCGACGATCATGAATTACACAATCTGTATTTGGACATGTACATAACTGAGAATGAATCGGATTTGATGAAGACGTTGAGTTTGATGAAGACGATGAATCAGATGCTGTTGAACTTGGTGGAGAATAATTTGCAGCAATAGAAAAAGTATTTGTTGAGCTACAAATAAATTGTATTTTATTTTTTAACAAATTCAGTCCTTATTTTTTTCAAAAACATACTTTATTTGAGAATCATTTTTTGTTGCCATTCGTTTTGGCATTGAATGACTTGTTGCACCGTCACCATCATTATCAGTCAACGAATAAGGATTATCTTCGTGATGCCGTTTCCTAAAGAAATCTGATTTCATAAGAAGTTTCATTTAAATAAAAACAAGACTTACATTGTCGATTTATATACAATATGTAGGAACTTACAAGATTAATAAATAACTCTTAATTGATCTCAGACGAGTGTCGAGTCAAAACAAGAGTTTTTGTACTGTTTTAAACTAAATATTTCAATGATTGATAATGAATAGTCACAAACATAATCAGACAAAGAGTAACTGAGAAGATTTTTCCAAATAGTTTAACAAGTGGACTAATCAAAATCGATATTGGGACATTTTTTAGAAAGAATTTTATCGAAGATGTCTTGACCGATATTTCTACAACTTTTATTCCAATAACTCATTTTTATACTTCTTTTTCTAAAAAAATACAACTCTTACCTGTTAAGTTGACTATAGATGGCGCTAGTATTTTAGCTGATCAACATGAAGAATAAGATATCAATGAACTACATCATATAGAGAACAAATGTATAAAAACGATGTTAATAAATAAGAATATAAATTAATTCGCCTAATCTATACGGTAAACCTTCCCTAGTCGAACTTTTTTTAGGAAGCGCATGACATTCTTGAGTTTCTTGAGCCTGAATGTCATGCGCTATGGACACATCTTGAGTCAAGACTTGAGACCATTAGGAAAAACTAAAGCGCTTGATATTCTTGCTCATGCGCTTGAACGTCTGTGCAAGCACATGTTACGTGCTTAAATGTTAAAGAAATATTTTCAGTGTTTTTTTTCAGTTCTACGTTCAAAATGACTGAAATTTTAATAAAAACTCGCACTAGTAATTTTTTTAGTTCAGCGCATGACTTTTTCAATCATGCGCATGACTCATGCGATCACTCAAATGCTTGTCTTGACCAAGAAAGTCATGCGCTATGGACACATCTTGAGCTCAAGTCTTGTCAAGCGCTTGAATAAAAAAGTACGACTAGGGTTGCAATCACAACAAGGAAGCGAGATGATAGCTGTATCGAAAGAAAGAAAACTTTGATAAATAAAAATTCTTGAACAAACATAGATCTAAAGGAATAATAAATACTTTAACTATCATCTTAACATAGTTAACAAATGAAACACATTTAAACTATTTACAGCAACTTGTATTTTCACTCAGTTTATGAAGACTGAAGATTCCGTAGATTTAATAGTAGTTAAGATTAGCTCAAATAAACAATTATTATCGGTCACTCAGGTATGTATCAATGTTAATAAGTATAATGTAATATTAACAACAATTTTCATACAAATATATACCATCGTGTGAAGAATAATTTTTGAAAAATATTATAATTTGAATGTACCACTGTAAAAAATTGATTATTCTCTCAGTATGAATACCAAACCTATTCTCTCGTACTATACTGATTCATATAAACATCTAAAGACAGCAATGAGAAGGAGTCAAAATATAAAATGGTAAAGATTATATTTCTTGAGAGATCACTGAATATTCTTATTGTTCTAAAAACTAGATTCCGAAGGTGACAAGCCTCATTTCTTATGAAGCTTATAAGTAAGGAGAGTTTGATAAGCGTAGATAATTAAAACCATATGGTAACCATATGCAAACATAATATCAGAGTGATATAGTTGCAATATTTGGAAGAATAATGCATGATCCGTTTTTCTATTCACTGTGTTCCCTTTCTCTGCATTCAACCCAACCCAACTCATTTCATAGACCATTTATTTGTTTTCCTGTCTATTATCTATTTAGATTTAAGAAAAAGAAATATATGTATCCTGACGGCTTTCAAAGCAATAATTAAAGAAGAAATAAAAAGAGCTATATGAATACTTTCAAGATTTTAATGACGAAACAGCTTTATCATTGATTTTCTCTGGCTGATCATCGTTCCATGCAATATATTATTCGTACGAATGATCTCTCTAGACAACTGTCTTATTCTTTAAATTTGTACAAGATATAGAAACAAAGAAAATTGTACATCATAATGATGGTGTCCAACCGTATGTCAATAATGGATTTGTTCTATTCCAAACGATAAAGTAAGTAAATCAATTTTCTTCAATGTTCTACTGTTTTTTTTTGAAGAATTTTTGCATTGCTTAGTTTTTGTAATGTGTTAAACAATAATGGCAATTAGACTTCACTCGAAAAGAAAACATCATTGATAAGTGTTGAACTTAATTATTAAGCATTCGTCAACAATACGATGTTTAAAATGTAGTCGAACACCGGTCTGCAATGAAAGTGTACTCACTCTCTGTGTTTTGTGTCCATAAAACTAATGCTATATAATTTAATCATTCTTTGAACAAGTACATAACGACAATCATCAACATCTGCTCCATTACTATACCAATATTTTAACCATCTTTGACGAAGAAAGGATGTATTCGTTTAAAATTTGTTTTCGCGGAGAACTACATCAACTTTGCCGATTCTACAAAATATAACAACGAACTAATGCATGTATGATTAAAGTTTCAAGTTTATCCCGTTGGAATACAAGCCATAATTTATAAGTCGTAATGGATTTAACTTCCAATTGTTTTCTAAAGATTTGATAGCAGTATCAGTTATCCACCGATTAAGTTAGTATTGAGGCAATCAAGAATTTTAATAACAATGATAGCCACAAGTCTAAAGCAATCAATCTTCATCAATGATATCAATTCTATAAAATAACTATTCGACACATTGGATAAAAATTCAATGAAGAATATGTTTTTAAGTTAAAGTTATACAAAACCATTTTTAATAAACGATCCCTATTGTCAGATGTGTTCCTCTCAAAAATATTAAAAGAAAGTATTACAAATGGGTTCAGGTTTTTTTTGAATGAAAAATAGTCCTATTCTTGTGATCGAGGTTACAATCAGATAAAAGGAATCCTTATTAAAGAGGTCAGTAATATAAGTGTCGCCAAGTCAAATTAAGTCGCCAGTACAACGATTGCTGACAATATTTCAATTAGTAATAGTAGCACATACGTTGTTGACGGACAGTTCGAGCGAATATACACGCCAGTCATTAATTATACTCGTAAATATGATCACTTTTTAATACCAAATAATATGTTGATGCTCAGCTTCTTGCTGACGTTGGCACTAATGTAGTCGCAACAACTCGATTGTTGATGTAAAAGTTAAGATGGTTTTATAACAGCCGCATCAGAAAAATGTGAGACTATACGGGTATCAATTGAAGAAGAAAATTAAATGAAATAGATGTCATACCCACACCAAGAATAAGAGACCGATTTAATACAAAAGTCAAAAATTCATAGTTTGATGAAGATTCAACGAGAGTTCCTTGTAACTCTATCTTCTGGATGCTCATGTAGCTGAATAATGGCACAATTACATAACGATGCAACCTATTTCATCAATTTTAATGCATTACTTCGCAGATAATACACAGTAGTGCATTATTTGCAAACATAATGCATTAAAATCTGTTCAATAGGCTGCATTCCAGAGATCGAAACTGAATAGAATAAGTGAATAATTCGATTTGATTCGACTCGACTCAGTCGAATCGAATCTGAATGAAGGTTTTCATATTCTTTTCAGTCTCTGTTGCATTATCATGTGATTGCATCCATTATTTTCATCACAGTTACACGGATAGCCTTTTAAGCCAGATAGATGTCGAAAATATCTTCGAATTTGTTTGCTAAAATAATTTCAGGAATATGAATAACACCCTAATTCTACCCTAACCATTTTTGTACTACCCTTACCCTGTACACTTTCTACCCTAATCCTACTCTATATTAACGTTTCTAACCGTAACCCTACCCTATAGGGTAGGGTAGAGCAGGGCTGTCCTGCAGGAGTCTAGGCAAAACGACTAAAATACCGTCTTGATGGGATTGTTTTTACGACACAATTCTGAGAAAGATTAGTGGTGGGTTTTTCGACGAAAATATTTAAAATCCTCATAAATCTAGTCGGTGATAATAACAATTCATATGATGATTGTGTTTTTTATCTAAATCGTATTTTATCTGATCGAAATACCAGAGACAAACACTGAAAATCATGTCTCGAGATCAATATTCTTCGAACAATTTTCTGTAGTAAATGTTTTTTCTTCGATGTTTTCGTAGAATTTTTTAGTGCACAAAAATCTCTATCAAAATATATGAAAACTACCGTGAACGACTAAAATAATGATAGTTAAATAGATCTGATCATCATCAAAGGTCAGATTTAATATGTATAGGAGAGTTATTGACTATTTCAAACGATCGGATTACAGCGTAAACAAATGCAATATGGCTAATTATACCAGCGATCACTTTTGAATACCTTTTCTGACAGTTTTGCATAGAGAAAAACCAAATTTTTCGAGTGAATCGATCTCATCACTTATCTATCCCTCGTTGATGTTGATAAAATTTTCGTAATAGTAGTGAATTTGATTGTTTATATCTGTCCCCAATATTTATTCTCAAGGATCTATCTAATATGTCATGTTAAACTATGATCAGTGAAAATGAATTCAAATGAATCTCTTTTCTAAAAATTCAATTCATGAAATATAAATTTCATATCAAAGAAAAAACTAGATAAACCAAGTGACCTGTTTTAGGGCTCTGCCCTATGTTTTTCAGCAAACGATAATCAATGAGGAATTTTAAAATGACTACTAATCGAAAAACAAAAATTAACTCGAAAGAAATTTTCGGTAAAAATATAAGTTAAATCAAAAGACTTAAGTGAATATTTTTAATGCCTTCTATTATTTTCATTTCTATCAAATATATATTCAGAACTGTAACAAATTATAAATTTTTTTTTACAGGTAATATCGAGTATATACCTCAAACATGTAAATAAAGCTCAATCAGATAGATATGTTAAGTAATCTACAAAAAAAAACAGACTTAAAAAAATCTGAAAGTTGCATTTTCTCTGTGATATTCCTTCGTTATATTTATTCGTAGAAAACTTAGTATTGCGTAAAATCGAGAAATTCGTCGCAAAATCATCCACAACAAATGTTAATAACGTGAAAGTTTATAGACTATTGAATGAACTGATTAAAATTAAGACAATTATCTATATTTAGAAGAATTTTTTTGAAAGTTAACCATCGCAACGTAATCAAAGAATTTTTCAATGGTGTAAGAAAAACTAAAAGATCGATCAATAATAAAATCTTTATTAAAAATCGAGCATTTTTAAAAATGTTTTATTCATTAAATAAGTTCATAATTGACTAATTATGATATACGAATATTTCTCTTCATTCTGAATGCAAATTAATGAATATTTTCAGTGGCGGACCAGCATCAAAATTTCTGGTGTGGTAATTGCTGGAAAAATCGTTTTTCTGATCGATTTTTGTCCAATTATTGGTTGTTTCAAATATTTTTAGTGCGTCAATTGCTACATCTTGTCACGCTGGCGACCCGCCACTGTATGTGTATGCTGCTAATAATTTTTTTAGGTGT